AAACTGTCAGAGAGACGTATTTAAAACGTCTATTAAGACGTTTTATGCAACAATTTTTCGACGATTTAGAAATGTCTTCGAGATGTCTCTTGATTTGTCTTATAAGACGACTGTGAGACTTATTTTAAGATGCCTTTAAGACAAACGTTTATTAAAATAATGATTTTTATACTCAAGTAGCAAATGATCGTCATCTGATTGTTTTTTTATTGTCATAATTGGTTATTATATTATATTATATAATATCAAGATATGTTAAAATATAAAATCTAAATATACATATGTATATTTGTCACACTTATAAAACTATATATTTATATCACTACTTATATCACTTTATATTATGTCTTCTTTAATAAACGACTGAGGCGATCTCCTGCGTGCCGCAACCATTCTTGAATAACTTTTTGCACCTGATAAAGACTGCAATTTTCGATCGTAGAAATGTAATCTGAAATTTTTATAAAATTATGTTTAAATTACAACTTTTTTATACTTATTAAAAACTGTTGTTAAAATATAAAGATTTAAATGTAACAATTGTTACATTTAAATTGTTAGATTAATCTAACAATTGTATATATAGATTTGTTTTTTATAATTGAAATTTATTTAAAGAAAAGTAAGTAATTTACTGTGTTAATTATAACATACTTTTTAAACTTTAATTTATAATATTTTTATTTTTAATTACCTATAATAATGTTGGCAAATGTTGTGTCTTTTATTGGTACTGATTGTCTTCGTCCTGTCCACGATAATTTTTTTGCAACGTTATCATCTAGAATAAATTTCATAATATTTCTTGTTTTATTGGCATACGTCGTTCCTCCGATTGTTGAAATTTTCTTTTTCTGCAACATAAAAACCAAATGTAAAATAGTGATTAATTTATCCAGATAAGACACTGAATTCTATACATTGAAATGCGCTTTGATTCAGTTTTAAAGCAACATTGAATAAAAAAATACTTACTAACTGCTTTCTGATTTCCTTATCTTGTTGAAGCTGCTCTTCAAATTTTAAACAATCTTCTATTGTCATTAGAGGTAAAGAAGGTAATAATGTTGTTTCACATTTAGTAGTACTCTCACACGCAACATCCTTATTTTCAATTAGATTAATGATAAAATCTAATTTTTTCGTTACTCTTATTGTATTTGTCATAATTTTTTGTGTGAAAGTTTGTAGTGTCGTACAACATGCTTCTATATGAAGTAGAAGGTAAAATTGTTAGTATAATTTACAATTTTAAAAAATTTTATTTTTAACAGAATTTTAAAGGATTAAAAAATGCGCAATATAAATTATGCACTGGCATCTTTATACTATAATATACAAATAATTAAAGTAACACAATACATACCGCAACAAGTGTGACTATTATTTACATCATTAACATCATTGACATCATTAACATCATTAACGTCATCAACATTATCCACCTGCACCTCAATGTCATAAACGTCACTCATGTCATGAATATAAATATCATTGACATCACGAATACTATGTACACCTAAAATATAATATTCATTAATTTTTATTCTCTAAATAGTTCGTTTTATTATTAAGAATATACATATACGGGGTATTTCGTAATATACAATCAATTTGTACATTAAAATATTAACAATATAAAATTTTTAAAACAAAATAAGTACTATATAGTACTTATTGTAATATATAGTTAATATTATTAATAGGAATATAAACTTATACTATATAAAAAAATAAGAGAGTAAAAAAAATATAAATTACTACCGCTGGTGGAATCGTCCAATTCATCATGAAAAGCAGGTCTTTTTATCGTTCTTTTTTGCAGGTTTTTTTCTGATTGTTGGTTGAGGATTTCCAATTGTTTCTCTTCCGAGGTAGAGACACTAATAGCATGATCTTCCATTTCTCGAGCTATTTCATACGTTTCTATGAAAAATTATAAACATATTTTACGACATTAAAAATTTATAACATTAAATGTTTCATGTCCGGTTCCACCAACGTAGATTAATTTTAATCTACGTTGGTGAAACCGGGCATCTATGGCAAGCCGTTTTACTTTTTAATAACATAAAAAATATTCTATCTAATATAAAAATTATTATTATGCCACGACATAACAATAATTGAACGAATTAAAATTATGGTAGGACATAATTAAAATTCAGAATTATTTGTATTTCCACACATAATATTAATTCATCTAATTATTATTATGTCGTAACATAATTTTAATTCATTCAATTATTATTATATCGTGACATAATAATAACTGGATGAATTAAAATTATGTCGGGACATAATAAAAATTCGGAATTATTTTTACGTCCCGACATAATTTTAATTTATTGAATTATTATTATGTCATGACATAATAATAATTGGATAAATTAACCGTGATATATGGTTTCCTTTAATCCATAAATACAGCATTTTTTTCATTACTGCTAAACATATCAAATGCATATAATCCAATAGAAAAGTATCAATCATATCTATAGACAAATCTTCAAAGGGCGAAACGGAAACATGATGTTCTTCATTTTTCCGATTGCGGAAATCATTATTTGTTCTTAACGGGGCTTCTTCATCCAAAAAAACTATTTTATGCTTGTAATAATCACCTTCACAACATTTCCCGCAACCAAAATATGCATTATACCCTTTCGTTCTAGTAACAAAAGATTTTGCAGGAGCATCATAAATAACCGCGCTGATTTTTATATAATAATTTTTATCTTTAAAAAAAAAGCCTTCCTTTTGTAGGATGCGGTATTCGTTACAAAATTCTTGTAATAGATTGTTTGCATCTAAAAGTTTCTTATAACCGTGGTAGGCACCAATTAAAAAGGGTTCTGTTATGAATTCTATATTATAGATTTGGCCAAGTATAGGCCATAATTGACTCTGCGAACTTTTAGAAAGAGGAAGGTCATCAATATTTATATTTAATTCGATAACATTATTTATATTTTTATAACATTCCAATTTTTCGCGTAATGCCTTTTCTAAACCATAATAAAAAAAAATGTTCAGCTCCACATTCACGGAAAAATGTGTTTTTAGGTGTGCCTAAAATAGTTCTGGCATCACTAAGCAATTCATTGTGACCTTCTTTCCGTAGAATTTTTAATAAAGCCGTAAAAGATTTTTGTGTTACATTGTGCACAGTAGCCCAAATATGCAATCGTTGCTGCAAAGTGTCTTTTTGTGTCTTAGTATTATTATATAAACAAAATTTCTCTGTAGATTCGATATTATTTTCAGCGTTATCTGCATTTGGCGTACATCTAGACTCGACTTTATGTGATTCTGTTGTATTTAAATTATTATATTCTGTTGTAATTAAATTTTGTCTTTTTTGAAGACATTTTGTAGAAGTGTGCTCATCATTATTTTGTTTTACATAAAGCATTAAACGGCGATATTTTTGACTTCGCGATAAATCCCTAAATTTTTTTACCTTGGGCATCTTATAAGTTTTATTACGTCTTAATACACACGCAAAAGTGTTCTGCAAAAATTAAATTGTACATTGCAAATTATACATTGCCAAATCTGCGAAAGTACATTTATTTTTTTAAAAGATCAAAATCATATTTTTACATAAAAGAAGTATTTTAAATAAATTGCGTCAAAAATTTAAATTGTTAATCGTTAATTTCTTTAATAAAATAAAAAAAAGATTTTAAATTAGCCCGAAAAAAAATTATAACTCCATCAACGAGTTTCCACCTTAACGTGGTGATGAAGCTTGAATTCCAATGATCTTAGAAAACAAGTGAGAAATTGAACTAAGAGGGACCAATCATAACTCATAACAACGTTGTGAATGCAATTAGAGCACAGATGGATTTGTAGAAGCCAAATAAAAATCGATAATTATAGCTCAAAAAATACATTTTTTGAAAATTTTTGAAAAAAATTTTTTTAATTTTAAACAAAACTTATTAGTGCCCTGAACATCCCTGATAAATTTTATCAGAATCAGACGAGCCATTTAGAAGTTATGGAATTTAAAAATAGGGAAGTTACTTTATAATCACCCTGTATATTATAAAAAAAAGATATCAACACAACACAAACATGTTTCTGCCTCTATAGACTTCCCTCAGTGTAAATAACATACATCCATATAATTCAAATTAAAAGGTATAGAGAGTCGTATGCATTTTATAATATAATTAATTAATAACGCATTCGAATATAAAAAATAAAACTTATAAAATGGTTATTGATTATTAAGATAGTAAATTAAGTCGCACTATTAATAAATCTAAATTCAAAGATAATTTTTTTTTTAATTTATCTAATATTTTCTTTGATGGAACATTACCTCAGTTTAAAAGAAATGATTAATGTCTTGTTTGCCTCTGTTTGACGTTTTTTGAATTCGCCCAGAAAACACTTATAAATGCAACTGTTCCTGAAGATTCCTGAAAATAATATGCATCAATAAGATAAAATTTTTTTAAGTATGTATACATTTTTTCGTAAATGTAAATATTAATATATTCTTAAAACTTATTTTATTAACTTATCCAGACAGCACACATTGTGTTAAAGATATCTGAAAGACGTTAAAGACGTCTAAAAATCAAACGAGTCGTTCACATACTTTAAAATATGCGTACTGTTTGAATTACTCTTATTTGAAATAATAAAACAGTGAGTTTATTCATTAAAATCTAAAAAGTTTATATAAATTTTAAAGAAATTTTAATGAAATTTTAATAAGAATAAATTTTAATGAAATTTTTACCCAATAACTATTTTGCACTGATAGAGAAATCACACTGTTAACGAAATTTTCTGTAGCTCTCGTCACTAAATAATGAAGAAACACAGTGCGTTTGACTGTCACTGTTGTTTGATTACATCAACAAATGTCGCTTGACAACATTAAGGCTGATCTACAATATGCTTCTTGTGCTGTTGTTTCTTGCTTTTTACCTTTTTGCTTTTCATGTGTTATTTTATGGAATCAAGAAGTATCGTCGTTTACAATTTATTATTTTTTCTGAATTTTCGAAGAAAAATATTACTTTACATAGAGGCAAAAAGACAGAAAATAAAAATCAACAAGCACATTGTAGATTCAACTTAATAGTTATCACAATATTGTAAAGTAAAACTCAGCATGTCTCCGCAAAAGCACAATCAAATGTAAATTAACGTTTGTTTTAAACAGTTTTCATTGCGCAGCAATAGGATTCTTGAACGAGAAGTTCGCTTTCTGTTTCTCAGACGAAATTGGCGGTTTATAAATGCTGTGATTTACACGCAATTCTTCGAAGGATTTGAAAATGTCTGAGAACACTTTATAGATTTTACTGAAATGCGCGCGGCTAAAATGGCGCGTAAGAAAGAAGACAAAAATAGTATGTCTGCTCTTTTCTAGTGTTCAAGCTAGCCGAAGCGCGGAGCTCACATGTAAATGGCTTACGCATGTGCGGATTTCCTCCCTCATGCTGCTTGCTGCTTGCGTCTCAAATCTGGTATATGCAAATACGCAGTCCCGTGATATCATAGATATCTGATAACGATTGAGTGAGAAATCAATTCACGAAGTCAACTCAAAATTAAAATTTACATGTAATAAAATGGTTTATTACAATTTAAGAAAAAAATTTGAAAACGTAGATTTAATTTTGATTATTAATTTATTGAGCAATCAATATTTTATTATGCAATAAAATATTAATTTAAAAGAACTCTGTTTGTGCACAAAATACCTTTTTAATGTAACAATAGGACATAATTATAAGTTTATTTAAAGAAAAAATATAATGCTTCTATTCAATTCTCGTGAATATTTCTTTGTTTAAGTACATATAGCATATAAAAAATTGATTTATCATAAATATTCAGTTTATGAAATACATATTTTCTTCAAAGATATTTTATACAAATATAAAATTCATTAAGCTTATACTGTCAAGCAACGAAAAAAAAGAAATAAAAATTTAGAGCGGTATCAGTCAACATTAATATTTAGTGTAATAAAATATCACACAAATAAGAAGAAAAATATTATACAATGCAATGTCACGCGATATATACAATACACACATATAAAATTTACTTGGAGAAGCTAAAATTTACAATATAATGTATAGAAAATATCACGATAGTAATTATAAAATAGAATATCAAAATATAAGTTATAATACAAATGATTCTTTGCGATATCTGTATCAACCTGCAGCAAACAACATACTATGTACAATTCTTCATCATTTAAATATTCTATAAAAAATTGAACATATAGTTTGGCAAAATAAACTATTATTCGCGACAGTTTCATATTCGATATAGCGTTAATTTAGAAGATACAGACTCAGTATGCAAATCCACAAAATATGTATCCAATATTATGTCACATCTCATTCGCACTAACTTAGTAATCTTTTAAATTAATTTTCCACGTTTCGTTCGAATCTCTCGGCATAATATCAATGCTGAAAGTTTATCGTTTCTTTCACTCCTTGTTTTTCGTATGGAGACGCATGTGTTTCTTCAGATTATCGAGTCGATTACACCGGCGGTCGCAGTAGTCGCATTTGTACGGCATCAGATTGCTGTGTACGATCACATGACCGTTCAGATGGCTGATCTGCTTGAAACGCTTGCCGCAAATAGTGCAGGCATACGGACGCTCGTTCATGTGCGCCGACGAGATGTGCGTCTGCAGATTCGTCTTCCTCACGAACGTGGCCTTGCATACATCGCACTCAAATGGCCGTACGTTCGCGTGGATCGCCAAATGCGACTTGAGTACATTCTTGTGCTTGAAGTTCTTTTCGCACAGATGACACTGGAACGGCCGTTCGTCGTTGTGCACCTTTTTGTGCACCGACAGATGCGCCAGCTGCTTGAACATCTTGGCGCAGATCTCGCACTGATACGTACGGCCGTCCTCGTGCGCGGCGCTCACGTGACGGCGTAGGGTATCCGCCAGGGTGTACCGTTTGCCGCAAATCTTGCAGCAGTACGGGCGCTCGTTGGTGTGCGTCAACAGATGGCCGTTGAGATTGCGTTTCTCCAGGAAACGGGCGCCGCAGACGTCGCACTGGTACGGCTTCTCGCCGTTGTGCACGTACATGTGCTTCTTCAGCGAGTTCGACAGACTGAAGCGCTTCGAGCAGAGAGTGCACTGGAAGCGGCGCTCGCCCGTGTGCACCAGCATGTGCGACTTCACGTGGCCGGCCTGTTTGAAACGTTTGCCACACACTTTGCAGTCGTACTGCCGCTCCTGCGTGTGCGTGAATATGTGCCGCTCCAGCACGCTCTTCGTCGTGAACACCTTCTTGCAATTGTCGCACTCGAATAGGCGGTAGACGTCGCGCATCTTCGTCGTCGTCGTCGCCGTCGCGTCGCCCTTGTGCGAGTGCGCGTGCTGCTTCAGCGAGTCCAACGACTCGAACTTCACGCCGCACACCCTGCACTGGAACGAGCGGTAGTCATGGTGCGTTAATGAATGCTGGCTGAGGTGGCCGAGCTGCTTGAAGCTCTTGTTGCACACGTCGCAGACGTACGGCCGTTCATTCGTGTGCGATCGCATGTGCCTCTCCAGCACGCTGGGAAAGTTGAACTTTTGCTTGCAGTACTTGCACTGCAGAGCGGACTGTATTTTCGACACGCGACTCTCCGACCTTCGTTTACCGTTTTGATTCGAATTCTTCGCAGTTTTACTTCCGCAGGAATCTTTCGCATCCAGCGACGCATTGAAATCGTCATTCGCTGGCTCGGGCTCGGATGCTTCGTGCGTCGCCTCGGATCTTTTCTCGTTTACTGCTTCGGCATTGCTTCTGGTATTTCTGATCGATTTCTCTTCTTCCTTGTCAGCTATTTTGCCTTGCCCGTGCGACTGCTTCATATGCTTCGTGCGTAATCTCGAAACGCTGAATGATTTATTGCACAGCTTGCAGCGGAAAGCCCCGGATTGTTCTGCCTTGTGAGTCCTCATGTGATTCTTCAAATGCCACAGTTTCATGTATTGCTTCTGACAGTATTTACATTTCAGTGATTGCGCGTCCACGTTAGTTTTCGATTCGTTATTCGTTTCATCTGTGCATCCCGAATCCGTTGTGCGCACGTTGCTTCTCTCGTTCTTTATATCGACGAAAAAGTCATTTGCATTGCTGTCTCTCGAAGGTGCATGTTGATTCCGAGCATCTCGTATACCTTCGTTCATTTCACAATGCTGAAACATTCAAAACAAAATTAGTTGATTATATACATTTGACAATTCTACTATTAATTGATATTGAATACAGCATTATTACGTTAACATTATTCGACGTGCTCTGCGTGTCTTCCACCGTTGCAGACGTATCTCTGTTTTTCGTACTTGACAAATATTCGATCCATTCTTCCTCCGTCCACAGGCCCTCTGTATCTTTTTCTATCTTGAGATTTTGAAATTTTTCACGTACATTCCGACCGAACAATATGTCACACGGAACTTTATCGTTTTGACAGCAGTACGTGGAGTTGTGAAGGATCTGTATGCTATTCAGACCTTCGCACCAGATTCTGGTCGAGTTTTTTCTCATCCAGGATTCGAGCAGGCTCTTAAAATCTCTGCAGCTAACTTCACACTTAGGCACGTCCCCGTGTAATATGAGGAAATCGTTCCACAGCAAACGTAGTTCATATACAACTTGTTCAGCAAACTTACGTCCATTGCCGCTCTGCAGCACCTGCGGTGCTCCTATAATTGCCAGTACGTCTAATAATTTTCTCGCTACCTCCTTGGCTGTATTGCTACGGAGAGCTTTTAATACAACAAACTTGGATGGTTGATCTTCGTAAACGAAAAAGTATTTATAATCAGATGTGGATTCTATTGACATCTCTATCACATCAATACGGCCTCTATTATGTAATCTCTTGGAAATATCAGTCAATTTTTTGGGAGTTTGATTCAAAGACTCTGTTTGACGAATCTGAAATCAAACGTGTGTTTGTTAATAACATAGCAGTGTAATATTCTTTTTCAAATTATGCATGTAAATAATTATTTATTTCTGCAATATATTCTGTAACAAGAACACAATCAAAAACTTACTGTTTGTGACGCATTCAAAAAGCTACTCTCCTGCTTAATTTCCATAGCTTCCTCTTTAGATGAGATTTGTAAGCGCATAGTCCTGTTTTGCACAGATTGCGAATTTAGTGCAGTTTCAAAGAATTCTACATCGTCCTTCACAAATACCAAATTGTGCTGATTTTGCTCTCCTGGTAGCAAATGGTCCAAAGAATTATGCATATATGCATTTTGCGGCATCCATTCTACACTTAGAGGCATTTCTTTATTCATTCTTATTTTTGTCATGTGCTGTATCCAATGCTGTTTGTTTTTGTTCTTGCTACCACTTCCTACAATACATTTAACAAATTTCGTTATACAGTTTATTAAACAATTTAAATTTGATTGAAAAAATTAGTATAAAATTTAATAAAAATGTCTTCTTTATTATTAAAATGAACGAATGCTAGTGAACTCAGCGTTGATTTGTTTGATGAAGAATAATGACGACGAATGTCTTAATAAAATTACTTAACAAGATTATAATAAATTTATCAACACTAAATATAGTCTACAGAATGACTAAAATTGCACGAACAACCAATGTTTGACCTTTCAGCTTACTGATTTCTATCGTGTTTACAAGAACATTTAGGTTTCGTTTAATTAAAATGTATTCAGTAGAATTAATTTAAAAATTTCTACTTCTCCGTGTGTCAGTTTCGTGTTCATTGCAGATCAACAGGTTTTTTTTCATGAGTTTCACTTTTAACAAAAAAGTATTAAGCCGGCATAATAAAATCTGTCAATCGGTTTTCGATTGAATCGTTAACCTACAACACATCGCACAATGCCAACTTACATCAATTCCCTGTGTTCAGTTAAAAAATTACACGAGGCTATTATGAATGTCCCGCATTTTCTCGCTTCATTTCAATAAATATATCACGAAGACTCAGATTGTGTTTAAAGTTCAGAAACGTCAACTTTCCAGCGTCTGACAGCGCTTGGTTTGTTGGCACAGTGTGGAAATTTATTATCGATGTCAAGGAGAATTTTCATGATACGCTGTCATTGAGGTTGATTAGCTAGAGGCGAAACTGGAATGCCATTTCGTGGAATCTACACTCGGCGTTATATTTAGATTTCTGAAAGTTGACTTATTTATAAAATCAATCAACCGCATGTCTAATGTAAAAAATGCA